GCCCCGGGCTGGCAGCAGTTCCCTTACCTGGCGCGCGCGGCGTTCGTTTCCTGCGGTCCCTGAAAGCCGCTCCCGACTGCAAGGCCTCCAGCAGGCTGTCCATCACTCCTGTCTCGTCACCCTCTGCGAGCAGCAGGGAAAGAAAACTCCATCAGTGCAGCTGAAACAGGACTTTAGAAAGAACCAGAAGTCCCAGAGCTGTCCCGTGCCCGTAGCGCTGCCAAGCACGCGGCGGGCGCGTCCCGGCGCAGGGTGGCTGGCGCTGCCCGCTGTGGGTGGCATCCAGCAGGAAAAGTGATGCCAACCCCACTGCTCCTCCAGCCTGGAGATGGTTCCCTGTGCATTATTGATGCCATCCTCAGTGTGCAGACAGGCAGCTGCTGCTGAGCCACGGCTGCCTCGCTGCTGAGGCATCTGAAGGCTTTTCTCAAGTGGAAACAGGTCAATTTAATCAATGCAGCTGATGGCACTGAGCAGCAGAAAGTTCAGTACTGCAGTACACAGAAAATATTTTATATGATGCCTCCTGGCTTCATGAGTCACTAAATCTTTGGAGGAATTATCTATACAATCAATAGCATGGATGGTGACATAAGGAGAGGATGAAGAGGGGATAATCATGCAGTGGAAGTCAATGGTGTAACATTTCTTAACAGCTGAATTTTACTTCTGCTCAATTTTTTATTTTGCTTTTTCCATATCCAAGCTGACTCACAGCCATTAAATTGCCGGACTTTATGGTGCATTATAGAAATCTGGGTGGAAGTATTACTTCTTTTTATACATTTGAGTCTTTACATTCCTTTGCATTTCAGTCTGTTAATAACAGGTGACAGCAGCATTCAGCAGCATGAGAAATAGAGGTCAAAGAACTGAAAGGTTACAAAACTACTGATGAATATCTCATTCTGTTCCCATATCTGTGTTATAAACCAAAACTAAAATATAGGTTAGGCTCAGCAGGTAGGTGGGCATTTCACCACATCTCTCAGACTCCAAACTCATATAAATTTCCCCATCTGGGAAAGGGAAGATCATTACTTTATGCAAAAAAAGATTACATTATGGTAAAAAACTTCTGACTCACACAAAGTGTGGGAGGTTAAATGCACATTCAGGTTCTCAAATGCTCAAGTTTAAAAGCAGCCTATTAATGAATAAGCTGTTCTGTCCTGATTCTCTGTTACATTCAGAATTATTAGACTCAATCCAGACCTAAAACAGAACCTGGCTCAAATTTCTACAAGCTGATCATTAGAATAACTATTTGATACCTTTCAATGATACATCTACCTAAGTGAAACCATTCTACACACGCTACACAACACACCCAGAGTTCTCTCCAGGGAAGAGCAAAGGGAGCAGAGCAAGTGCAGGAACCAGCACAAGACTCTGAAATACCAGCTTTAATTACAGCCCATCTAAAAGCCTTAAACAACTGAGCTCCTGCAAAACAAATCAGCAAATTAGCTTTCCTCAATTCCCACTCACATCCAAAGCCAGAATTTTCTCTAAACTGCACAACTTAATTGTTTTTCTTTGTGCTTCTTATCCTGCTGATGCTTATGCATTGATTTGTTGTCGGCTCTGTATTAAATTTACCTTCAAAATCAAAGCTCTGTGAATACACTTTGTCCAAATTAATACACATCAAGTTGGTCTGAAACATTTAATGGCAGCGACTGCAGACCCAGAGCTAGTTAATATCTTAGAATATTTAATGTGTAGAAAAATTACAATATTCTTCGATCTTCATTAAAAGTAAGGTTGGCAGAATTTATTAGAAAAGACAAAAATCTTTCAATACTTCATGAATGTTTATGCAGCCTTCCACTTTTTTGCTGAGTGAGCTGCTGTACCTGCTAATTACTGCAACTGCCAAAAGCCAGCCTGGTTTTGGGATGCCAGAATAGACAACATAAAACACATTATTAAGGAAGCTGCAGGACAGAGTGATGAGATTTTTAAGTCCTCAAAGTAAAATTCATGCAAGGTCTGGTCTCAGCAGTGCATCTTAATCACAGTTTTTAGGTGGCTAAGTGGGAACTGGACAAAGAACTGCGTTTTCAGAGAGCCTTGATTAAAACTGATAAATAAAATTCAACAGAAAATTCACTCTTTCTCTATAGTTCTTGCTGCAGTTCTTCACACAGTACCAGCTACCTCCTCCATTTGTCATTTTTATACCACCCACAGCAATTTATAGACACAAATAAAAAACAAAGACAGAAATTGCCAGAAGTTTGAAAACTAAAAACTTATTTCCAACATTTCTGTCAGCAGAAATAAAATACATAATCATTATCTGACTTTTATATGTCATTCATTGTACACAAGGACAGGAGTTTCATCTGGAACAAGTAATTTTCTTCCTCATTGTTTCTTCTCCGAGTTGGCCCCAAGCATTTAAAAGAGAGCAAATGTGTGGAGACGTGCAAAAAAAAAAAAAATTGGCAATTTACTTTGATTTGCCTTTAAAAAGAGCCAGAGTCACTACAGGTATTAAAGAGGGCTGCAAAAGGATTCCCAGTCATGAACTGATGGGTTAACTACGAGCCCCATTTGTTTTAATTTGGATTTGACACTAAATCAAATTTTGGCAGCTGGTGGGGGCTGTGTTTTGGAACTGGAAACTGTTGATAATTCAGTTTTTTGGTTTTTTTTTCTTATCACTGAGCAGCCCTTACACAGAGCCACGGGTTCTTCTGCTCCTCAGCCCATCCCACCCTGATTCCTGAACCAAACTCATAGAAAGGCTGATCAATAGTTATATCTGCAGTGCCTTTTAAACAAAATATCACCTGTTAAACAGCAGTTACACTGAAATATTTCCCTCTGGGCTGGAGACCCAGACTCGGGTGTGTTTTTGGGAGGTTACAGAAATGCTCGTGCTCCTGCAGGGCCCAGGGCTTACTTAACAGATTTGGGCCAGTTTCAATGCTAATAATAAAGACAAAATAACTTTCTCCTACCATAGAACAATATTATTGCTCCTTGTGTTGCTGAAGAGACCTGCAGACCATTTGGAATAATAAAATCAACTGAAATAACATGTTTAACTTCACAGGCCAGCCAGGAGCTCTTCAACAGGGAATGCCCAAGAGCTCCAATCTACAGAAGTGACCAAAGGAACAGCAACAAAAACCCTGTGGTTGCTGGAGCAGTGGTGCACCAGCTTGATTACAGCATCCACAGAAAAGAAATCACAGCCAAAGGCTGTGATTTCTTTTCTGTGGATGCTGTAATCAAGCTTTCATATAACCAGGGGGTGGATTCCAACACGGAATGCTGCAGGCAGCACAATTTCTTCAGCCCACACAAAGCAGGCACTGGAAGGATGCAAGAGAAGCTCCTCCTGTGCTTTGGAACCTGGGCAGAGCCAAGAAAAACCTGCAGGGGCTGGGGCTGCAGCACAGCGCCAGGGTGGCACTGCCAGCACCCCTGCACCTCCTCCTGAGCTTTGCACGAGGCTTGTCAGGCAGAAATATTGACAGAAATATTGACAGGAAGGGCTCCAAACACAACCTGAGGGTGATTTTTAGGAGGTGCCACTGCTGGGGTGACTGGGGGATGCAGGAACTCAGCCAAGCACGGTCCCAGCCCAGTGGATCAGCTTTGCCCAGCTCAGAGGCTGGGAACTGCTGCTGCTCCTGGGCTCTGCTGCCCTCCCTGCTGGCTACAGGAGCACCTACACACTTACACACACATTTTTTATTTTATTTTATTTTTATTATATTTATTTTTATTATATTTTATTTTCTAGTATTTTCTTGTATTGTAAGTGTAGCTGAATTTAATGGGAACAAATGATGATGTTTCATTTAATTGAGAATTTGAATGATTTATTATAACTATGTTAAAACACATTAATATACTATATAAAACTATATACTACATTTTCTATCTCTAATTTTTATACAACTCGTGGCCCTGTCTCGAGAGTTTAGATATTGGTGGATTGGATTGACCATCAGGCTCAAACAATCCTCACTAGAATCTAATCAAGTATTTACTCTAGGTAAACAATTCTCTGAACACATTTTACATAGGAAAAATAAGGAGCAGAAATAGAAATTGTTCTTCTTTCATTTCTCTCTGTGCACCTCTATGAAAAATCCTGAGAGAGAGAGAAATGTGCTTGCCACACGCTTGCAAAGCATCTTGTACTCATTATTCCAAATATACTGATTGCAAACTGACCTAAGTTAATAAGAAGTGTAGATATTGCACAGCCATTTGGGCAAAGGTTTACAGGAATTTTTTCATAAATCTGGGCCCTTACTGAAAGAGACCAGTCAAATACCACATTAGGTAACACATGCTGCCTCCTGCTGCTCCAAAGGGTTTTAAATTATGCTTCTATTCACATCTTGCACTACCCCTGTTTTGCTTTGGACTTTTAAGCACTTTTCAAAGTCTAATGTGTGTCCTGTAGAAACTTTTAAACAAGACTTTTTATTCATAACCAGTACCAGAATTTTTAATTGCAATATATTCCACTTAAAAAGGTCAGCTCTCAATGTCTTTGGGAAAGCGTGTTTTTGTGCTCTCCTCATATATTTGCATTTTATTCATTTGCTAAATTCATTTTGCATGCATAATAAATATCTCCAGGAAGCAGCCCTGCTCTGCAGCTTGCAGCAGAGTGGTGTCTCGTGCCTCTTATTTACTTTTTAATTAGAGGAGAACAAGTTAGGACAGTGTGAGTGAGAAGTGAACCCCCAGCTCATGTCAGTTTAAAACAAGGCGAAGCCTTGTTTACACACCAATTAAGAATATTGTTGTTGATAACCTGACCTCAGGCTTAAATAAATTAATAGAAGGAGAAAAAAAAGTGCTTTGTTGTACAGGCAGGCTATTGAAAACAATGTTTGAAATGCACATTTTTTTATTTATTGGGAGAAAATGTCCCAGTGGCCCAAGTCTGCTGTGGCCTCACTGAGATGTCCCCACACGGCCCCTGGAGCCTCTTCCTGCAAGAGCCACACCTCAAACAGGCTGTAATGTGAATTATCTGGGACAAATGGGAAGAGATTGCCTCTGTGTGGGGAAAAAAAAGATTGTGCAGCTCACCAAAAAAAAAAAACCAAAAAAAACAAACCCCAAAAAACCCCAAACAAACAAAAACACCCTAAAAATCCCATATGATACCTCAGTAATGACACCTGTAAATAAAGTTCTGCTGCAGCTCCCAGGCTATATTTTAATTACAGTACTGAGCTACTTTTAATTTCTGTGATGAGCAGAACAAACCATCAATGCTCTGATTGTTGTTAATAATTTCCTTCCTATTGAACAACTGCTCTAACATTTTAGGGGAAAAAAGGATTTTTGGGAACACATTTCAAGGAAAGGGGAGTTCTTACGCATTCTTGATGACTTTTTACTTTCTTTTTTGATTTAATACTGATGATGGTTTTGACTGTGATAGGGGTAATCTTCCCCACAGCAGCTGGTGGGGGCTGTGTTTTGGAACTGGAAACTGTTGATAATTCAGTTTTTTGGTTTTTTTTCTTACCACTGAGCAGCCCTTACACAGAGCCACGGGTTCTGCTGCTCCTCAGCCCATCCCACCCTGACCTGATTCCTGAACCAAACTCATAGAAAGGCTGATCAATAATTATTCCTGCAATGCTTTTTAACATTGTAAGTTCTACAAAATATCACCTCCTATACAGCAGTTGCTTTAAGATAAACAACATTAAGGCTACTTTCAAAATTAATAACAGTACCTACTTTTTGAAACACAAATAATTTCTCTAAGGAAAAGTTGAATTTGCATAGAAAACTCCCTGAAGTTACAACTTGCTACTGTTCAGTAAATAGTCCCTGAGAAACCTACTTTTAAGGGAAAAGAATCCAGTTTTTCTTTCTTCCCTGCAATTATCCCAATCACAGATTTTTCAGTCTAATAATTTTTCCCCCGATAAACTCAATCAAAGGTACCATATGGGCCATCTTCATTATCAAAACCAAACTTTTCCACAGCAAACATTTAAAGGTGAGATTACATTTCAAGCTGTCCTGTCCATTCTCACATCCATTTGCATTTCTCCTCAGCTGTTCCTGACCCATTTATCAGTTCAGCAATTCTGACACTCACCCCATTCTCAGGACCACGTTAAACTCCTGCACAAACAGATCTCACAAAGGTTTTTAGCAATTCCTGCAGGATTGCTTTGAGAAGGAAAACTCAAACCTGTACCTGCTCACCTTTAAGCCTAATGCAAAGCTCAATCTGTTTTTTGTTCTGTGAATATCAAGTTTCAGGAGGTGTGCAGCATATTCAAACAGACCATCAACGTCAATATGAAAAATAATGACTTCCCACAGGAATTTGAACAGTTGCCTCATTGACATCCAGCACCACAAACTAATAATCTTTATAATGTAAATAAGACCCAAGATTTACCACTCCAGGTACCCCATACAATCACCAGCCAATACAGGAATCCAAAAAGACATTTACAAAAGAACATGTAACTCGTAATAAGCTTGGTATGGATTTCTGTTTATGCTAAAGGACGTGGAAGGAAGACAAACCAACCACAAAAGCACAAAATCATTAGAAAACTGCAGCAAAAGCAACCCCTGGAATTATATCCTGCACCAATGAAATCAAACACCAGCTCAAGGAAACAGAACACACCAGTCTGAATAAAAAACCCATGAAATCTTCTATGGGGATACTTGGAAAGGGAAAGCAGGAATATCCATCAACCTCCAGCACAGAATTGCACTTGCATTATCCTCATCTGCATTAGGGAAGAATGTTAATCGGTCTTCAAAACAATTAATTCAACCCTAATTGGGGCTGAGAAAGCTCATTCTATCTTTTATCCGAATACTGGTAGTTAAAAGGTGATTTTAATTGCCATGGTAATCAGATATAATGAAGAGCAAGACTGTTTCTGATTAAATAACATTTAGAGCAGAATTGCAGGTAGACACTTTGAAGCTGAATTCTCCAACTCTTCTTCTCTCTCTACTTCAGACAAGCACACAGAAGCAATGCTGCAAGAATTCTGCAGATGTTGAATCAGGTGGAAGTCATGAAAGGCTTCTCCTCCCAATTTATCTCCCATTAGGAGAAGAATTGTTCATGATTGGAGCTGTGAAACTTCAGCTCTGTGCACAAGGCACAAACCTTCCTGTGCCTCCAGACCTCACCAGGAAACTGGGATTTTCACCTAATGCTAACAATCTTGATAACTTTTTGGAATATTCCTTTTTATAGAGGTTTTTATAAATATATTTTTGTGTTCATCTTTAAATATTTTGGAATGTTCAGCAGGTTTTTTTTTTATCTATTTACATGTAATAGATGTAATTTATGTGGCAGCTCAGTTACACAAAGCACAAAACCACCAGAGTAAAGTGGTCTTCAAAATAGTGGCAAAATCTGAGTTACTTCACCACTAGGGAATATTCAGAACAATTCTTGGTTCTGGCCACACTGTGGTTTTCTATAGTAACACCAAGAAACAGATATTAATTTTTAGTAAATTATAACTAACCTAATCTGGATTCTCCAGTGACCACAACAAGTGGTCACTGAACAGGCAGAAAACAGGAAAAATACTTCTAGAACTGCACAAGGAGCTGGAAATGCTTCAATTGCTGTGACCTCCAAGGCTGCAGCACTGAGATCAAATTTGACTCTGGGAGATGCAGAGAAAGAGCTGAGAGGGGTGAGGTTAAAATGAGCCTTTGGGTGAAAATCACCTTGTCCAAGTGACAGCTTGAGAGGACATCTGCCTCCTTCCTCTAAGCCTGCTGTGTCACATTCACTTAGACAAATTTACAGACTATTTATATAAGCAGCAATGAGCACACAAAAGTAGCTGCATCAAAAAAAAAAATTAGTTATTTGGCAAAAATAGTCAATTGAATATCAATGTAATAGAATCCACTGGGGATGGAGGCTTAGCCCTACTCCTATCACAGCAGCAGAGCTGTAATATGTGAAATGGATGTTTTAAAATATTTACAAATTGGAAAAAATATTTTAGAAGTATTTAACTTTGTGTCACAGGTTTCCAAACATTAGTTATTTAAATGGCAGTTTTGGTGCATTGGGCCATGTAAAGACATTCATATATTTGCATTTTCATTGAGAGAGGACTACAATGCAAAATTGAACTTTACTTGTATCATTTAATAGGAAAAGACCTTCATGATGGAAAGCAGAATGCTGTCAGTGTGATTTGTGCCACTGCTCAGAGTGGTGGCCCCTCACCTGCTTGGAAAGGGAAGGGATGCAGCAAAACGCAGGTGTGATCTCAGGGCTGAGCTGAGGAATTGCAGAAGTTTTGTTCAAAGAGAGCTCCAGCCCTCCAGCACAGCCCAGGTCACTGAGAAAAGCCTCCCAGGGGGCTTTCCTCACTTTTCATCAGCTCACCAAACATTCAGTGCCCCATGGCAGCTGAAATCAACCTCCTGAGCACCTGGCAGAGGTGGGCTGGTGAAGGGATGTTTAACTGCTTCTCATCCCACTCTCAGAAAATGCCTGTCCTTATTACCATGGACATTTTGTTTGTCAGGTGGCAGATATTAAAGAAATATTAATCATATGCTGAAAGAATGGATTAGAAAAGTCTCGTTAGAAACCTTCACTGGTTTAACTTCACAAAGAAAAGGTGTATTTATGCATCCCCCTTTGTTTAAATTTTACATTTTGTTTATGGCTACACTGAAATTAGACTAATCTTGAAATTATCTGATAATAAAGTTTGTCATGTGTAGAAAATAATTTCTTCTACAGAAGATCCCATGCAGTGCCAGTGCCAGTTCAAGCAAGGCCAAAGATAACAGGATTTGTGCTACCATTGCAGCAATCAGCCCTGAGCAGGGCCTGTTAAATGGATAACAAGGACAGGTGTTTTTATTGCTGGGGCAGATTAGCAGATTAACACAAACTCATAGAAACTGAACAAAAAACTGCAAATGATCTCTTGCCTAAATCCAATTTTACCTCTACTTGCCTTCTGGAGTCAGGTAAAGAATAAAGCCTATATTTTACAGCCTTCTGGAAATCTGCACGACATCAATATCAAGCCCATCCCATTCCTTCTGCTTCCTTACCTGCCTCTCTGTCACAGAGGTCTCATGTGAAATGCAATATTCTCCCAGCTGACAAGCTCAACACATTGCTTTTTATCGTGCTGAAATGTCACTCTGTACTCAGGCTCCGAGCTCAACTAGATTTTCCAGCCCCTAATAGGACTACTGGGAGAACATCCATCCTAACACAGAGCCCCAAGCCCAAAAGGAAAGACATTAATTGCCACAATACCTTGATTATAGAGATGTTTACAGAATGAAATTAACAACAAAGCAAGGAAGACACTTCTTCTTGGAATTCAATCCATAAGGAAAAAAAAAATCAATTAAGTGCTTCAAATGCAAAAAAGCCAATAATTCACAACAGCACGCCTTGAAAGGAACATTGCACGCATTAAGTGGCAGAAATGGAATGACATGACCAGGTAGGCTGAAACAAAACAGAATTTTCCACTTTGAAAAGTGAACTTTTTCCAGCTTTCAGAACCATCAGCAAGTAGTTGTGATATTAATCAGAAATAGCCTTCAGTTTGTTACTCCTGACTTAGTTTGGCCTTTCTAATGGTAATCTCTCAGCCAAAAATGCTGCCTTACCTTTGTTCATATCAATCAACTGCTGCTTCTTCTTCTGCCTCTCCAGCCTCTCGCGCTCTGCCTTCTCCTTGGCCAGCTTGGCCCTCTTGGTTTTCTCCTCCAATTCTCTTCTTTTGTTGTTTTCTTTTAATGCCTCCTGCATGAGAGAAAAGGAATGTGACTTTCCACTGAGGAAAACCAAAGTAACCTGCTTTGCACAGGAGGAAAAACCAGGGGCTTGACCCAAAACCTTGGAGGGAACACAACATTAATGTGGAAATTATTGATCAGAGCCATGGAAACTTGAAATACCTTTGTATTTATGATGAAGGAAAAAAAAATTATTTCAGCAGCAACATGTTTGTATTTTTCCCTATTAAGATTGAAAGTCTACCTTAAACCTGTGCCATCCTCTTAGGAGGGATGAGTGGGGAGGAAACCAAGTGTCCACTAGGATGGAAATTCAATTACAAAGGGGCTGAAACTCAAGTGCTAGAATTTAAATATAATTCATCAACATTTTTTTGTTGAAATAGCTAGTCTGGATGTCTAAAATTCAGAAAACACAGGAGAAGAAATGGAAAATAGTTCCATTTTTAGATTATGACTAAAAGGTCTCTAAGATAACAGGTTATACTTGAGGTCTCTGAGGTAACCTGTTATATATTTTATATTTATTTTTATATATAATAATATATGTGTTAATATATAATATATAATATATATTTTATAGATTATAGATTTTTATCTATACACCAGTGCTGGCACCCACGGCCTCACTCCAAACTGCACCAAGAGCTGCAGCACCACAGAGCCAGCTGCAGCACAAAACACCTTTTCTTCCACATAAAATGCAACTAAAGGGCAAACCCAATGTCTTGGCCCTTTTGCTTTTGGCCAGTTCTCAGTCCCACCTGACAGATATTTCATTTTACTGCAGCTGGAATGGAGGAAGTGCCCCCAGCCTTAGGAGAGACAGCAAATAGGAAATGTCCTGGTTGCACTGGTGGCTCAGCAGGCACTGACATTCTGTGATCACATCACAGATCCCATCACGTTTTCTACCAGGGAATGTACAGCAGACTCAACTAAACAAGCTCTGAAGTTGTTTTATATAGAAATTCTCCTTGAGCAACCAAATCTATGAGTTCTAGCTGCAGGAAGATTCAGACTGCACTTCATAAAACAGAATGGATACCAGTGGTGATTAAAAAAAACAAAAAGCCATTAAAAAAATATATAAAGGGTTTAATCTTCTTGAAGAACAGCAAGATAAGAAAATACTGATAACTCTGTGTGAGAGTAGCCCTTTTTATCTATTTTCACCCATCCACCTCCTGGAATGGACTTGCTTGTTATTCCCCTCCATCAGGCAGTTGGACTCTTGACCATTCCATATTTGTTATGTCATTTACTGCTGTACACTTTGAGTTAGATGAAAGCTGGAAATAAATCACTGGCAAGAACATACTCCCACCTGCTATCAAAGTCAGTACAGAAAGCAAAATAAATCTATTTTCATCTATATTTATAAGCGTACTTTATATTTAAATTAATATTGCTAACAAATTTGATCACAGTTTCTCAAAACTGACAGATGATTAATGTAAATAAAGAGAATTTTGATCAGGTGTACAGTGATTTCTACAGCGTTTGCTCTGCCTGAATTACATCAATCCTTTCAGTTTCATTTCCTACAGTTCCACTGCAAAGGGTTATTTTTCTCTCTCATGGCATGTTTTTATGTTCCCCCAGACCTTTTCTCTCCCAAACATTTGAGTTGCAGTGGATTTCTTCTAATACAGCACAGTGCTATTCCAGATTAGCAGGGTTTTTTTCAGCTATCAAATGCCAGTGATCCCCTATCTGTGCAGTTTTACAGGATAAATTACTTCACAAGGTAAAGATCAGTTTGAAGACTAAAAACAAAAATAGCTCTGTAATTGGCATTGCTTTTAAAAGAGGGAATAAAACTCAGCAGTTCTGATACTGCAATACATTTCCACAGTGACAAAGAACTTGCTACTGTTCACAGGGTTCTACTAGACAACTAAATTTATTCACCAATTAAAAGTAAACTAATCTAACAGCCAGAAATCAGACAAAGAAATGATCCTCTGGTAAGAATAAAAGCCTTCTCAACAGCTTTAGAACACATTTTGAAAAGTCCTCATCTAGATGCTGTCTTCTGAAAACATGTAAGTGCATGCAAAAGGGGAAATAATTTGAGTGAATCTCAGCAGACAGAAATATTTAAATGCACAAAACCCTTTTATTGATGTGCTTTTCATGACCCTCTGTTATTTTGGTTGGTGCATAAGGGCAAGCAGTTTTGCTAATTCAACAGCAAATTAAAAGTTAGGGAAAGTTTGAGTGGGTTTCCTTTGTTATAATAAAACCAAAACTGAATTATTGTCTCTCCTAGCAGAGCAAAGAGATTCAGCAAGGAATATTATCTCTTTTTAAGTGAGTTAGTCGAGGAAGCACATAGTTTGATGTTCCCCCTTGTGTTTATTAGGATTCACTGAAGTGCAGCTCTGGTACTCAGCACTGCCAGTTTACAGCTTGGCTTCCTTAAGAAGCAAATAAAAAATTAATGCATCTCTTGCATTCTGCACATATCTTAAGTTTTGACAGACAAACATATTCACACATCGACACGGTTGTAAATAGACTCTCGGAGGTAAATTATTAAAAACCAGAAGAAAGAAAACAAACTGTAATGCACAAATCTCCCTGGATATTAAAGATGCAGCTGGCTACAAAGCGGTCATGCACCAATAATGAGGGCTGCCTCTGATCCCTCAGGCCTTCCCCAAATTTGCCTTGCAACTGCAAAATATGTCAGCTGAACTTCCAGCAAAATAATCTCTTTCAGCCAGAAGTCAGATTATCTGGAAGTTAATCTACAGAAATTCAGAGTTAAAATACAGCAGATTGAGCAATCAGTTGACATGTAAAAGGGAGATCTTCCATGGGTGTTCCTGGGAGGATAACACATTTAAATACATTGTTATCCCCATGAAAATAATGGAAAAGAGATGTAAGGAGCTGGCATTAAACAAGAGCAGACAAATTGAATTCCTGCTGGGTGGCAGGGAAGCAGAGAGCAGAGGTTGGGACAGTGGCTCCTGCAGCAGGGCCACCCCAGTGGTGGCATCACTTAATTGACTGTAGGAGTTGGAATAATTATTAAATGGCCCTCGAGTGGACAGGTTTGGAACTGGTTTTCCTGCTCCTGTCCATCAATATTTGAATAGCAGAATAAACACTCTCACCTCGTTCAGGTTATTCCTGACAGAGCTTCCACACACAAAAACAAAGCTGTGTCATGGTCTTTACAAAAAACACACAACTTGAAAACCCCAGGAAAACAAATGTTGTCTGTTTGGGTACAACCCTAACAGAGAAACCAAGGCCCAGGACAGACCAATTATTGTTTTGCTCCAAAAGCAATTTTCTGGATCGAGGAAGAGACAAATCAGTATTTTGGCACATCCTCATGTGAGCACAATCCTTTAGACTTTTTAACAAAAACTCACTCTAAGCTAACTCAGTAAGAACTGTTCATACAAGGGCCTGAATCCAGTAGAAAAAGTGAATTACTCCTTTTAATAGCAGGACCTTGAATGTGACCTGCTGAGAGGTTTCAAAGTTTCTGGGTGGAAATTCTTGACACATTTTAAAAGAGACTGTGAGAATTACACCAGTGCTCTATATAGGGACAAAGTGCAATTAAATAACAGAATAAAAACGCCTGGCTTGGAAAGATTTTGCAGACTTCCTGAAAGACATGGTTGGTGGAGTGTGGAAGGAGGCACTGCAGAGGGTGTGTGGCATTACACTGCAAAGAAATAACAAATGTAGAAAAAAACAACACTGCAGGGACACGCTCCCACAGCTGCAGCTTTTAACTTGAGCTTTCCTACACCTTCCACTTCACGCTCCACTCTGTGTTCTGACAGGATTATCCAGCTCCATTTGCCTGCCTGGATTTTCCTACACGTGCCAAGCAAGCAAATATGAACTTCAGGAAGTGAATGAGCTGTAATTGACTCCAACGTCAGCACGCCAAATGAAGCTGCAATAATGCAGTGATCAATCTGAAATCACAATTAAGACAAATACGGATTCCAATCATCAAATTATCCTAATGGCATATAGGAACAAACAGAATGATGAGGCTAAGATTACATATGTGAAACAACAAAACTGGGGAGATTTTAGAGGAGTCAGGTTCATTTAGCACAAGAGCTTTTCAGAAATGTGTAAGTGCAGATGTTGGCATCTGCAGCCTGCACACATCCTCTGTGCAAGGGTCTCTCCTGGCCTCGGCATCAGCCCCAAGGGCTCACTCAGGGCAGGTAATGAAGGCACTGCTTCACAAGAGCTTTTCAACAGCTTAGGCTCTGCCTCGGCCAAAATCCCAAACTATGCCTTGCTTTTGGAGTGGAATGAGGATTCAAAATCCTCATTTAAATATTACAAACTTCCAAAGATAATGCCTGGAAATAATGACATTTCTCAGTTGGACTCGCTGCTACCAGCACTGAATATAAAACAGAACAAAAACTGAAGAAAACTTTTAAATCCTGCTCCTTTCAAGATTAGGAAATTTGACTTCATGGTTTTCTCTGGACCATGTTCTTCCTATAACTTTTAAAAATATTCTCTAATCAATGGCATCTCTACCCTGCAATATGGCATCCAGGGCTTTTACAAAGGCAGCCACCTCAAGGGAGAAACAACTTGGGTCAGAAAAAAATCCCAGCTCCAACCAGGCAGCTGGTTCTACACTTGGCAACACAGTTTACTTGCACTCGGTTTATTTTTTATTATTATTATTTATTTTTGCACCTTTTGGGGAGCTTCCAAGAGAAATTCCATCCTCGTGTTTTACATCATGAATAAAGCACTTATCCAGCAGCACTAACCCCTTGTAAATAAAGTGAGTTACTGCTCCTATGTGAATTCCACCACCTGCATCCTTTCCTAGCCCACCCCTAATCCCTCATTTGTTCAGGATAATGATTAAAACCCATTCTGCTCAGCACTAGCTGAATGTATGCACTCAGGTGAGAACTGAGAGAGCTCACAAAATGTTTGTATTTCAGGTTTGGGGCAGGGGGAGGAAGGGCTTGCTGTATATTGCCTGTTAATAAGGACAGTGTTTCACTTCTGCTACCACCTCTTGGGAAATTTTGCTGAAGAAAATACTTCTTGCTCATTATTCTTCATTTTTTCCCAGCTTCCTGCTAGCTGGAAACTGTTATCTTTCAGGCTGCATTAAAGAACTGTTACTTTTTAGGCAGAAGGGATGAAGTGTATTCCCAGACAAATAACCAGAGAGAACAATGAATAAATAGAGCCTTTCTTTTAAACCACTCCTGAATTAGAAACTCAATTTATGAGTTTGAAAGCTGGGAATTTAGCCTGACTATGCGCTGTATTTCATGGTAAATCAGATGTTTATTATGTATTTATTTATGTATTGTAGATTCATTGAGTTGTATTTCTGTAGCAAATGACCTGCTGCATTCCAGGGACACTTGAAAAAGGCCACCACAAAAACCACTCCTGAGTCACAGAGCTTGAAACTTCCTTTGAAGCAAGTAATAAACAGACAAATATCAGGAAGAAGGAAGGGTCTCACAGGAACATTTATACCCAGGACACCGAATCCACTGTGGGAAAACCTGTTTGCTATGAAGGCAACAGAACAGATGTTCAGGGCATCAATCTCAAAAATCCTGGAGCCCAGAGAGGTGGGCACCAATAAAAAGTGCTCAGTGTGCTGTCACTGAATGTGCCTCCTCATTTTGGGGAGATGTTCACTCTGGGGATGCTGCAGTGCAGGGCACACAGCAGCCATCCATCAACAGCAGCGCTGATACAAAAGGACAATTTATTTCACTGGTGTTTTACCAAAGCCATCTCTCATTCTGCCACCTGATCAGTCACTCACATCTGCTAAAACACAGCCTCAAACTGGAGCACAGCCCCTGTTCTCTAAGTACATCTCTAATGTACTTTAAGATTTAATTCCTTGTTCAAAGAGCTGCATTCACACCAATGTGAGGGAAGCAGTCACCACTGCTAAAAAAAATAGCAGATAAACAGATACAAATAAAATAAATAAATAAATAAAAATAAACAAACAGATAAAAAAAAATACCACTCCACTGAACAAAACAGCCTCTCTGCATTTCATGCAACTAGACCCAAAAATCCCTTTTCCTGCTTCAAAAATAACTGTTTTCTTAGACTTAAAATTCACCTTTAAGACCATCTGCATTAAAAGGAAACCCAGAGAACAAACAAAATTTAAACATTTAAAAATTGGGTTTTTAAATGAAAAAGAAATAAAAAAGAAATTTTAAGAAAAAAGGAAAAAAAAATTTTAAAAAGAGGAAATTTTCCAATTTAATGATGAGTCGCATATTTCCTACAACTTCCACAGCACAATCAGCCTGAAAGGAAGTTTATGTCCATTTACAGATGTAGGCATGGTGGGTGTTTTTAAATCCTTTGCCACCAACACAAGTAAACATTCAGAAAGTGACAGCCTGAAAACATTACAGGTCACTTGATAAAGAGTGTGAGACAGTAAGTTTAAGGAAAAAACTGGAAAAGAACAAACTGGCCTCTTGCTCCAGGCAACTGATTAATCATTATTTGATAAGAGCTTGATCCTTTTGGGCTCCATGTTGCATCAGGTTGCAGTTGTCTTCAAGGACAATGGAAATTTGTGTTTACTTTCAATGGAATAAAAGACTAAAAAATCTAAAAAATATTTCTTCTTCAGAAGAGTTTTAAATATTAAAGAAGCATTATTATCCAGTGGATCTTTAACTGCAAGGAGGGAAAATAGAAAACCCACAACAAACCACCCTTCTTGCTAGTTTTTATTCAATTTCTCTGCAGCTGGCAGCTCCAAGAGAATACACCTTGTTGTGTTTTCTTTATTCTCCAGCCTGGAATTTGACTGGAGTTCCACTGGCAAAGGAAAATCCTGTGGAAATGTTTTAGTAAATTCTGTGACACTCCAACAACCTGGAGGAGTTTAGAACCTCTAAACTCAACTGGCTCTTGGCACAAGAAAAGAGCTTTATCCAGCAGAGAGCCACTAGCAAGAACATAAAAGAATGGCAAAGAGGAAAAAATGAGCCATGAATGGTTATAAAATATCTGGAATTATACTTCAGCCAATCACCCAAGCACTGAGAGAATTTGGGGAGGTATTGCAGCCACGTGAGCAGACAAAAGTGACACAGACAAACGTGTGCATGCTCCAGGGATGCTTGGAGATGTTCTCTACCCCCAGACTTATCTGATTGCTCTTGAATTCTTATCAGTACTTATTACTTTTTCAAAGTAAATCCCACAGATTAAAGGAATTTCAGCATATTTTTCCTCTGGGGAAACTTCTTGCCAGCATCGAAATGTTGCAGAAAATCTTAATTCTTTTTTGTAAATTTTTTTT